CTTTTAATTTGTACCACGAATTACTTCCTTTTCTAGAGAATAATGGACTGGATGGTCCCTTGTCTAAAAAATACTTGGGCGCCATCACCTCCACAAGCATAGAATCTCTTCAAGATGATGCAAACCAACCAGTACGCCAAGGCCTGGTCGGCGGTGCTATGTCGCTAACCAAGTTTCTACAGCGGAAGCAACAAATGACTAGAAATGCAATTTGCATTTGCACTCCCCTCCCCCTCTTCTAGATATATAAATTCTCCTACTTGACTCCAAAAGACATCCATGTTTATTTATTGCTTTTTACAAATTGAAACCGAACATATAGGACTTTATCTCATCCTACTGGCTTGTTCTGATCCGATGATCCTTGTTTGTGCTTGATATTCGACCTGTTTGTTCTTGATTACTTCAAAATTCTATTATATCATGCACATTCAGCTCGAGTTTTGTTAGTATCCTGTTTCTGATCTGTTGAATTGTACGAACACAGGAAGGGCTTGCTAGACTAGATCGAAAGAAGAAATGGGACACTAGAGAACGCAAGGCAGCTCTTGATGGTTTGGAAGAGTTTCAAGCTAAAGCAAAACGAGAGAGGCTGAAGATTTGGCAATATGGTGATGTCCAATCTGATGACGAGGAGTTAGCGCCACCACCTCCAAGGAAAGCTGGAGGCCGTCGATGAGAGAACTGATGCGAGCGAGGGTAAAAATAAGGTTCCGAGATATAGGGAGAGAGTTTGTAGTTCATAGTTCGCTTTGAGTAGCCATTTATACCTCTATATTTCTCACTTTGGATTTTGTTTTCCTTTTTATCCCAAGACTTGAAGAAGTCATTTTTCCACCCCTAGCTTTAAATAAGGTATCACCCATAACTTATCTCTATTTGGAAACCAAGCTTGTATGTGCCCGTAGATTTAATTAAAACTCACCTTATCTTGTTTTCATTTTACTTTGTGGAAAGCAGGAACTTTTCGTTCGATCTATATTTGTGACTTTTCACGTCAACCTTGTTCATGTTCTTTACGATTACGACTGCCGCCGGGAATAATTTCTCTGGAGCTACAGAAAGCTTCTTGTTTGAAATCTTCAATGTTGTAGAATGTCATGTTTGTTTTACGACGATGCAGATTCCCTTGTCTTGCATATTACTTGAACATTTTTGTCCAGTAGAAAAACTATATTACTATTTGGCGTTGTAATACATAGAACAAGCACTGATTCATGATGGTTTCATAAATTGGTATTGTCTGATTCTTCTCTTTTTGGCAACTCGGATAATATGCACTCTGATCAATGATCAGGTCAGGTCTCATGTATGTAAACCCAAAATAAGAGGAATATTTTGATTATTTAAAATTAACAAGTCAGTCCAAAATAATGATCTGAGAATATTACAAAAATGATGAGACAAAGACAGTAGAATATTTTGTTTATATCATAGAATATTTTTCCCAACTAACCCATTATACTTTGATTTGATATAATAATTGAGATCAATTATTATTTATTAAAATTATGTCATATCTGTCGGTTACTAACTTAAGCATCGATCTTGATCTTCGTACATGTTCATCATTAAAAATCGAATAATCGAAACCATATTAATTTTAGATGATTATGGTTCTGATTATGAAATTGCCGATTAAGGTTTCAAATCGACACTGTCATTTATTTAAAGATTTTTTTATTAATATTTAATTTTAATATTTAATTAGTCTATAATGAGTTGAATCGAACCAAAACCGTGAAATCATTGATCGGTTCTGATTTCAATTTTTGACCGATTCGATTCCGATGTCGTTGGTGGTTGGAAGCGCCATTAGTTTAATGTGCAGGTACAGCAGAAGAATGAAGCGACGTGTGTGCCGTCCACGACCAAGCGAGCGAGTCCGGTCTGCTGCAAAGATTCGCAACTTCGCACGTACTCCCCCGCACGTATACGAGTCCCAGGAGTACATTCCTGCAACTCCTCCACACCACGCACCCTCGCCCCTCTCTCTTTTCTGCCCCTCTTTGCGTGCCTGTTTCACCCATACCAATGCGTGCATGGGTAAGGGTGCGACGCAGAGACCTGCCGTTGTTGCCACCCTCCCATCGGACCAAAGCAGGCACAAAAGACTATTCAAGTGGAGAGACTGGGAATGGGTTCCCCAAAGATGCCGTTTGCCTCTGAAGCTTTGAACGCTTCGGGGTTTTGGGACTTTGTGTCGATGTGTCGTGGTAATTTTCTTTCCAAGGCTTCTCCTCTGGGGATTATTCTATCTTGGACTTTGGGCGATGTGATGACAACCGGTCAAATCCCGCTTTCTGAATCGAACCATCGTCTTCATCTGATCCGCCATTAAGAATCGACAGCTCCAAGCTGAACCGAACTCGTGGTCAGATGTTGTGTGCCATTCGGACGTGCAAGTGGACCAAACACACCATAAATATATAATCACATTCAGTCTAAGAAAATAAAAATGATAGAATTAAAATTAAATTAAGTTAAAATCAAAAATAAAAAATCAATCGATGTGATTCGCTAATTCTAAATTAAATTTTTAATTATGATGGTTCGATTATGATTTTTAATTTTTGAGAATCGAAATCGACGATTACTGAACCGATGATTCATAATTAAAAAAATATATAATTTTTTTATTTTTTATTTAAAAATATATACTGAATCGTCAGTACCAAAACCAAACTTGTGGTCAAATGTTGTACCATTTGGATATGTAAGTGGACAAAAATACCTATCACAAAAAGAAAATGATGTATATAAATCGAGTTAGAACCAAAACCAAATCAAAATTAAAATAGAAATCGAATTGTTAGGATGATTCACTAATTCCAAATTGAATGTGATTTGCTAATTCTAAATCGAATCAAAATCAAACCTAGATGGTTTGATTATGATTCTTGATTTTTAAAAATCAAAATCGAAATCGATGACTCACGATTATTTATATATTTATTTATATATATATATGATTTTTAAATTTAAATTATTTTTAATTTTAAAATAATAAAAAAAATCGGTGGATTGGAATCGACGATTCCATTCGGAAACGTGAGTCTAAGTCTACTCGCATGGTTTGACACGGCCAAACCAAATTCGAGAGACAACAGCGGAGTCTTTATCACTCTCACGTTGACCGAGTCCATTCTCCTCTGACCACGCAGTCTTCGGCACGTGGATAGAGACAGTGGAGTTGCAACTACTAAATTCCCGGCCTCAACCGGCGTCATAGAAAAAGTAAAAGAGAGAGAGAGAGAGAGTGTGTGTGTGTGTGTGTGTGTGATGGGTTTCTAGAGATTCACATCTTGTCTCATCCAACGATGTGTCCCAGATATAAGATCACAAATCGAACGGCGGAGGTAGAAAGAGGAGAGAGAGAGAGAGAGAAGTCAGTCAATGTGTCAACCTGCCACCAAACCAGAACGAGAGGTCCTACAGAACAAAAAACTACTGTGCAAAAGAGAAGAGGAACAGGAAAGAGAGAGAGAGAGAGAGAGATGGCTCAATAGTTGGACAGAGATGCCAGTCGTCTGCTGCTGGACATAAAATAAAAGAGCTCTTCCCACATCTCACGCTTCTCCTCTCATCCCCAGCAGCCCAAACAAAAAAGAAAAACCAAAGATGCCAATGCCTCACAGACTATTCTGCCATCGCCAGAGTACAGCCTTCGCTTTTTGTTTGAACCCTACGCTGGTCATACTCGCATCCATTATATAAATCCTCCACCCCCCACATGCCTTCTCGCCTCTGATCTCATCCCTTATCACCCTCTTTCGACTCCACCCATCACGCCTTTCTCTCACTCTCGAGTGCTTCTCTTACGCACCTTTTGTTCTCCGACTCCGTCGAGCATAGACGAGTCGTGCGTGCGGTGTACATATGAGGAGTGGGATCGTCGCAGCATAGATGGGACTCAAGTCTCTCGGTCTGCAGATGATTCCATGGTGCTTCCACGTGGTGGCCGGCAGTCGGACCAGCCCGTCCCCTGCGGCGCAGGCAACGGGGATCAGGCTCATCGGCTGCGACGGCCGGGTCAGGGTGTACCACCGGCCAGTTGCGGCGGCAGAGCTCATGAAGGAGCACCCCTGCCACCTCGTCTGCCGCTCCGACGCCTTCTTCATCGGTCAGAAGGTCCCACCGCTAGCCGCCGGCGACCAGCTCCAGCCTGGCCACTCCTACTTCCTCCTCCCCGCCCACTTCTTCCGCTCCGTCCTCTCCTTCGTCACCCTCGCCACCTCCCTCATCGGCCCCAACGCCGGCGTCGCGGCGAGGAAGACAGCCCTCCTCAGGCCATTCGACATCCACAAGACGGCCTCGGGGACGCTTCAGATCAGGGTCTCCGACGAGTTCCTCAGAGAGAGAGTCCGGGAGGAAGAGATCTGCCGCGGTAGCAGCAAAGTTGTCTCCACGGAGGCGTTGGAGAAGGAGTACAGGACGTTGGTGAGGTGCAGGTCGAGGCGGTGGAGGCCGAAGCTGGAGGCGATAACGGAGTCGGAGAGGCGGAGAGTAGTCGGGCCATTCGGTGGCTTCAGGAGGAGAAAGACGACGACGACGACGACGAAGAAGAAGAAGAAGGAAGAGATCCAATTAGTTCGGTAGTAGAGCAGCAATCTCTTCTGTCTTGTACATTGTAAATTAAGATGAATGGTGTCCTAAGCCCGCCCTAACTATATATTATTAGGATCGAAAGAATCTTTATCCTCGAAAGAAAGCTCTTCCGTGCTGGTCGGTTGGATGTTTTCACCGTTGGATTTGATGTTCGAAGTTTCTCGCTTAGCCGTTCAACCTATCATCCAACTATGCTTCAACCCAATGAATTCCTTAGCGGGCTTATGGGCCACAAGTAAAGGCATTTAATCTTTCACACATCATCAAATCAAACTGCAGAGACACACTTGCTGATTTCTGGACTCCTGCATCAGTGCATTATTCTTCCAGCACAGTTTCATTTGTGGAATAGATGCCATATATATATGTTATATTTTAATTATGTGGAAAAATGAGTGCCACCTGCATATAATATTAGAGCTTATTAGGTCCGATGTAAGTGACCGAAGGATGATGCCACCCATATGGTAATGGCCGAGCATTATTTTCGACACTCGATAGGATCAGCAGAACCACGAGCCATTATGATTGATTGATACCTTTGTCTGTGGCTCCTACACGCTCCTCAGCAGCATCTCTTGATACCTTTTGAAGGATTCCAGCTTCTGCAACCTCATCTGCCTGTGAAACCTCTTGATGAATACGTCTGCTGCGTGGTCGATCTCGTCCTCCAGCCTGAACTCAGAACCATCCTCCTTGGAGTTCTTGACGAGATCAATGACGGATCCGGTGGTGTTCCCAAGCTCGTCATCATCTTCTTCTTCTTCTTCCAAGTCAAAGAGTGAGTGCCTCAGATCTGGATAGTCGTCGTCGTCGTCGTCGTCGTCATAACAGTACATCGGTTCCTTGTCGGTTGGGTTCGTCAGGGCTGCATTCTTCGCAGCATCGTAGAGCACGATCGCCTTGTCGTGATCCTCGGCAGAATGGGCACCTCCTTCACCTTTCTCTTGGCCCATCAGCGCATGGATCTTGTGGTTGATTGCCTTCATGAGGAGCTTCTTGTTCTGAAGGATTCTCAGGACCAGGAGCCTGGTCCTCAAGGCACTGGTTTTGCTCTTCACCGCCATCGACTTGGCCTTCACCATGGCCACAACCGCGGAGCACATCTGCTTCAAAAAGGAGGAAGAAGCCCGGAACTTCATCTTTGAGGTGGTAAAGAACTGAAGATAGTCGCGGATCAAAGAACAGTTGGGAAGTGCATGAAATGCTGATCAAGAGAGAGAGAGAGAGGGAAAGAGATCTGAAAGGAAATGAAGTGCTGAACGTTGTGTTTGTAAACGGATCAGAATAAGTGGAAGACGTGGGGAGGAAGAAGAGAGTAGTAGCGTTTGGAATAAGAACCAAGGGAAGGAAACATTAGAGAGTGTCGCAAGTGACTGTTTTTGCATGGGCTTTGTCTCGAGGGATGACATGGGTTTTTATAGAGGATCGAGGCAACGTCTATGCACTTGACTGAGACTAAAGAAAGAAAACTTAATAGCTAAGTAGTGAAGTGAGCAACCAGGAAAGTGAAAGCTCAAAAAAGCAGGAAAAAAAGTGGAAGAAAGCAACCATGGCATGTGAAAGAAACCAAGGCGTGGAGGAGTCGTCGTCGTTTGCCGCAAAGGACAGTTGTAATAGTAGGTTCTTTTGAATTATTTGGTTGCTTTGGTGGTCATCCACAGACCGAAATATCTGATCCATCTTTTTCCTTTGCAACGTTTCTTTGCGCTCTTTGAGTGCACTGATGATTGTAATGTCTCTGAGGTAGCCTTTATTGCTATTGCTTTTTCTCCGTGCCTTTTATATGATGATAAATATCTGCCTATATCGTCCATAATTTTCTTAAATCTCCGCATTATGTATGATAGTAAATATTAGTTTAAATTATCTTACTGGATTCTTCATATTTCGCATGGAATATTAATCTTATGATATACAGTAATTTTGCCTACTTGTTGACAAGCCATTTCTAACGATCAAGCACTTGGAGATAGAGATTAAGCAAAATCACATATCGCGCCTGCACAGTTACGTACATAGCAGCCATGAAGTATTTTAGTACAAACAATACAGAATAAAAGAAGCACACGAGTAATTCTAGCAGTAGTGGTATGGCGCTTAAAGAATAAATTTGGATGGTGCTCAACCTCATCTGACCAATCTATCGATTTGACTTTTTAGGCAGTTCAGAGAAGAAAAGCCACAGTTCTGTTAAATCAGCATATGAATCTGAATGCCAAATTGGGCACAACACATTTTGAAACAGTATCCGACCACAGATCATTCTCGTTACACACTAGACAGTTAAAAGGGGGAAGATTAATATATCTATACATTCATGTTACAAGGAGATAATGAAAGAAACATTTCAAGGAACAACAAGATTCGCTTCCACCGGTCCCCCCACACCGGCAAAATTAAGGCAGCAAAGTCCTCGTGTCCCTCGTTTCTGGATCGTTATCATCTATTGAAAGTTTACCCCATTCTGTGTTTCTAAGAGGAATGAACTTTGCTCGATCATAATTAGTTCCTCTGAAACCTGTTGTTCTTGAAGACACCATAGGCATTACAAGTACCGAAGATGCGCTAATTGACTCCTCACCAAGACCGAGTGAGAGAGAACCAGCAGCCTGCAAGAGGAACATTAGAAAATGCTAACAAAATATCTTATATAGTAATAATACCGTCTCATTGTTTTCTCAAAAGAAAATTTACAAAGCCAAAGTACCTTTGCCTTCAACAGAATAAACTTCACTTTAGTAAGCACTGCTTGTGCAAGTGACCTCACATCACTTATTTCAGGATCTTCTAATGGTAGTAGCATGGCGCCCCTGCAGTTCCAGCTATCAACACTATATATCAGCTAGAGTAGATTATATACATCACCATAATTGCTTAATAACTTCAAATGGAAATCATCTCAATATATGAAACGTGTGAATCCAGAGAAAGCCAACATGTAATTTGAAGTAATGTACAAATTAATATTTAATATCGTACAGTTAATGGAACATCAATTTTATGACAAGCAACAAGATAGAGAGGGGATGGCAAGTACCTGTTCATATCAGTTGGAAGGTCTTGAGCTGAAGAAGGCAAAGAAGAATCCTTTGTTTCACTTCCTAAAAGTTGTTGGCAAAATTACTTTAGTTAACATTAATGATGCATAAAAAGAAGAACCATTAACGATCTGTAGGTACCTTTAGAATCATCAGGTGCTAATAAAGAAATGCCAATAAATACAAATGTCATCCCCACTACAAACATAGTTATTCTTAATGTGTTAAATACCTGTTAAAGCACTTAAGTTAGCTTCATTTAATGAATATATATATATATATATATATATATACACATAGATTTCTATGGATAAGGCTCACTTGATATTCTTGAAAATACACAAATCCTGTAAAGATAGAGAAGAAGGTCCATGCAATCTGAAACATGGGAACAATGAGGATTGCATCGAAAAGAGACAACCCTTCATTCAGTCTTGCCATCTGGAATTTAAGAAAAGCTATATCAGACATCTCAGAGTAAGGAAGTCTCAAGGTACAGTTTACTTGGGGCTTTGTTGACATCATTACCCAAAATCCTGCCGTGCTAAAGAACAACAACAGCATACAATATGTAAACCAGCTATGGAACTGATAGTTGCTGCTCATGGTCAGTCTTAGCATATTAGATCTGGAAAGTGTACACATCAAATATATAAATAGAAGAAATCAAAAGTATGCATAGAGATCAATTAAAAAATATTGCAGCTTATCTTGCAGAAACAAGGAATGAAATTCTTAAGATGCCAACTTACAAGGATTTTGCAAATAACACTGAGCAAGAACCCACAGCACCAGAAACAGTGGCATAAGAAAATGGAAGCAAAGTCCGCCAATAGGAACTCACTGGATCAGAAACTGAAAGATATGCTTCTCCTGTCCTGATTGTTATAGTAATTAGGATAACTATAATTTGTTGCAGAGGGATTGGATGACAAGGATAAGACAAACAAGGAGGCTGGCTTCTAACACCCAAAAATAAGCTGGCTCGACGTGCTAACAATTTTAGAAACTATTAGTCTGCTCACCTGTAAAAGTACTGGTTAACACCAACTATCAATAACAAAGTCAAGCAATAGAGAAGAAAAACCATGCTGCTGTATTTTGCAATCAACTCCTCTGGTGTATATACTGCAATGAAAAAAGAAATATCATTTAGTTGATTATTAACTATTCCTTCCCTCAATTAGGTTGATGTTAATACCAGGTGACTGGTGGTTTCCAAAAGACACTAAGAAAATGTTGCCAAAAACAATAAAAGTTGTTGCTACCATGACCCTGCAAAACAAGTTGTCATATGAAATCATATTTCTGCATTAAGCATATGTCCTTTTTAAAACAATGTCAATTCTGAAATGACTTACTTGACTGACACTGTCTTACTGAGCACAAAGTAAGCAAATGCAATATTAGATATGAACTGAATTGATCCCAATGCTGCAAGAAGTGACTGCAATCGCAAAACACAAAATAGCCTAGTCAGGGAAAAAACTAATCGAACTGGTCATGATTATACAATCCTCAAAAATAAAAACCAAATTTTAAAAGCATTTCCCACCCTGTGAACCATCCCTAAATTTTGGACCGTGAATTACCCACAAATTTCTTAACACGATGGTGATACGTAAAGCCTTAAGAACTTAAACTTTGATCTAATAGGTAGGTAGTCATTGACTAGCCAATCAAGAGCACTTAATGCCCTGAATCATTGTGAACATAGCCAATACATTAAGAATCAAAGAATTCTTGAAGAGATAAATGGATTAATCCAAGAATACATTCAAATCCTGGGTGACACAAATTTCTACTTCCCATCACTATCATCGTGGACAAAATGCCAACAAAAAAACAGTGTACATCACATTTACAACAGTAACATACATGTTTGTGAATAATGCTCTTGCCGAATCCAGATTTGAGTAGTGAAAGCCCATGAAAGGCACATTATATCAAGATTAACATTTTATACTAGATGATATATTCCATCAGTAACTCATGAACAAAACCAAAATATTTAACTTGACCTGTGCAGCATATGCAAAGGAAACAAAGTTGAGGCAGTTCCCGAAAACAAACAAAAGAATGCCTGCATTAGAAGGTACACCATTAGATCAGCTAAAATATAATTTTTTCAAAATAGAAGATATCACAATGTAAAGTATCACCAATTCTCCAGGTCTGGAAATGTATAATTGATTTCACATTAACTTTGCTATTGGTTCCATCACAGCTAGGCATATAATGCTTCTCTCGCTGCAAACACAGAGACACACACCACAGGAAGAAAATTGGCATGTTAGTACATTAAGTAACAGTCTATGTAGTACAGTATTTATTCGCAACAAGCTATGACAGGAGAAAAAGACTGCGGATTTTCACACTGGAGCAAACAATAACAGGAAATGGTAAAGTTACAGGAAAGCATGAACATGTAACACAAAAATACCTGATCATGACCCAATTTTAGAAGGTTAGTCCCAAAGTTTATAGTAATACTCCCAATTATATTAATAAATGCTCCAATAATCCACTCCCCCATGGATCAATGATGATGAGGAGCTCTTCTATAGCGAGATAAATCAGTTCAAGACTTTTTTGAAGATCGACTCTTGCACATCATTGTTTTAGTCATTGGCGTTCAGGTCTTCTCGAACTGTAGGCAAAGCCCATAGTGCATATGCAAACTCTTTATACAGTAGAAATGATTGAATCAAGTTCTGCACTCCTGAAAATATCAAAGTTATCCACGAATGCAGTGCGTATAAGTTGATCACTAGAAGGGTCAAGGATAACATCAGATTATTAGATTAGCCAGAGAATAATAACAAAGACATCCAATGATTGGAAAGAACAAATAATGTGAAAAGATAACATGTGATGGCAATATCAAGGTTCTTGCTTAAACATGCTATGCCACTCCACAACCTGCATAACATTTAATATTTATTTTAAGAAAATTTGCCAAATACATAATCCATAACAAATTGATGGACAATATCGACTTGAACATTTCAGATTATGATATCAACAATTCAGGTTGAAAGAAGTAACTAAGAAAAAGAACAAAAAGACTACAAAGTAAATTAGTTTATGATTTACTGGAATCTTATTTATCTTAGAAAAAGCCGCCATATCTTCCATACTTCAGTAACAACAAATGACATACAAAAGATATAGAATAAGTTCAACTTAGAAACATATGGCTAGGTTCAACAGCTTGTTCCCAAAGGCAAAGTTGAAATGTTTCCTATAATATTTAAATGCCTTAACCCTGCTATCCAAGACTCCTTTTCTATTTATTAAAATCCCCAGGGAGTGATTAGCATTAGAGCCACATAACTCTTTAGCAATCATTCTCCTGTTTAGATAAATATAGCAATTTTTTAATGCTCAGCTTGCCACGTAGCAATTGCTCTCCAGTTTGTTAAAACAACTATCTCCATAGAATCTCAGAACTGTGAAAATTGATATTGCAAAGATAGAAATTAAGGGCATGGCTCAGATAATAACTATGATTCAGATAAAGCAGTGTTTGCTCCGTCTTATTGAAAATCCAGCAAAAATACTTCCAAGTAATGCCTTCATACGGTATGTGGTCAAGAAAAGCTCCGAGAACTTCGCTGGTCAATAAAAAATGAAGTTTTCTAAGTGTTCCAAGAAGTCTATGTGGTTCCCACTTCCCGATGGTACAGTAGGTCTGCCTATATCTAAGACAAATGACCATACTTCAAAAATTTACCAATTCCATTCCATAGAAAAAAAAAAAACCACACCTGCCGTACATTGTTCTTCCATAACTAGCCTTTTAATGTATGACTGCTGTACATTATGAATCACGCCTTGTAAGCCAGTGACTTTGATAATAATTCTGATATGCCTTGCTAGCAATATCTCCAATAAAAAAAGGCAATAGGTGCATGATGCTACAGGTAGGGTTACGAGGAGGAACAATGTAGGCAGCCCATATACTATTGAATTTCCCCTTCAGCAAACAATTGCAAGCTTTTGTTAAAAGAAATTCTCTAAACCCTGAATAAGCAACATATTTTAGATGTTAATCCTCATGGTAGGTACACACCAACAGTTTCTTTTTCCAGCCTCCTCTTTGTCTTCTATACCATAATTCCCTTGAAAGAAGGCACAAAGTCCACGACATTTGTCTTGTCCAACTATCAAGCCTAAATTCACGAGATTGGATGACGGAGCTGCGATTAGCGATCATCCGATAGGACGGGGAGTAGAAAACCCATCGCCCAGCATAAATAAGCTCCAAATTATAATGATAAGATACAGATAGTGTTGAGAAAATTCATGGGCTAAGAAGAAACAAAAACACATTATATTCCCAAAGAGATTCTTTAACAAAATAAAAGAAAAAGAGAAAGAAAAGGAAAATCGTTCGAGAACCTTATTTGCTGTCACGTAATCTTCCAGCTCAAGATACGATCACGAGCACCAGATCTGACAGACAAACAAACGCATGAATTGACGATAAATTAGGATCCTATCTACCTCATCCGCACCGAAGCGGAAATGCTTAGTAGCCAGATCCATAATCTAGAGTCAGCGATTGAAACAAGAATGTATAGATCGCACCGGATCTTGAAGCATTGACCAAGGATGAGTCATTTTCCGGGGGCTTTACCTCGCGGGAATGGTCGCGGAATCCCCCTCCGGCCGTAGCCGAGGCCCAAGAAGAACGAACCGATCGATTCGAGACGAACAGGAGAAGAAGATGAACCCTTGAAACTTTTCTTGCGACGGAGGAGGACGAGGAAAAGGCGAGAAGATCTGCAAAATTAGGGGCGCAGATCACCGATCGCTTTCCCCCGGTAGTCGAACGTCACAAAAATAACAAAGAATAAGAAGCCATTCGCCGAGGCTACTTTTTATATTGGCCAATTCGTGAGTTCCCCGAGTCCTTTCCCGCCTGGTGAGGATCTTCTGTTGTGGCACAACGACAAGATCCAATATTTCCCCATCATGCAACTGAAGGGACCCACAGATGGAAAGAGATCGCACGCTGATTCTATTTTTCTGGTGGATAAAAATGCTGAACTCTGTCTCGGATATGACAACTGTTAAGCCATTGTTCGATTAGTACTTTTTTCGCTTTCGTATCATTACAACTTTTATTTATTTCGAAGAATGACAAATAAGGCGTTCGGATCCCAAAAAGACGAAAGCCACGTCTGAACGCTCTCGCAGCCGTGGCTGATGACCTCATCAGCATCGGTGTCTTCTCTCGGGTGGTTTCTCGGGGGAGACTCCTGAGAGTGTCTTTAAGGCGTATCTCATCGTCTTAATCTCTGAATGGTCTTCGTTCGTTCCCACCGGTCCACGTTGGTGGTACAAAGTTTCACGTTCCTTTTTCTTCGGCACCCACAACTTTCTCGCCCAGACACCCAGTGACACGTAAGGCCACAGAAGCGGTGGACCCCGCAAAGCATCTCTGCATGCGGGGAGGAACCAAGGTTTGGGGACGATTGTCGGGCGGAGTCGCTTACTTTAACACCTTCATACGCGTTACGGTCACCCATACCGTACGATCGGCGTTCACCACCATCTCACGTGGCTCTTTAAGACGGGGGAAATCACATCTGGCCCCACCATCCTCAATCACCGTTACGTTCGTTACAGCAAATTTAGATGGATTCCATTCGATGAAGAGTAATTTGTTCATCCTAGTGACTGATACAATCCAATCTTATCTATCCTGTTCCTTTTTTTGTGACCTTGTTTTGCAATGGTACAAAGAATAGTGAGTGCATTGTAATCATGACAATGGAAATGACAGTATCAATGGTGACCATGACAGCCCTCTTCATATCTGCTACCATATGTGGCCACAAGTTGAAGGATGGCAAAGCTGCAAAAGCAGCTTTAAGACCTTAATTGTTCCGCAGTCCCTATCATCAGATCATAAGTTTACCAGTTCAGGACACAACAACTAATCATTCATTATGAATCACAAATGTTTGTTCAGGAGAAGAATTATCGGTTGACTTCGTAAGATTCACACTCGGATAATATCAGAAGGTTTACTTACAACTTTGGATCTGACACCAGCATCCAAGATACTACTTTTAAGGTCGGAAATATACACAGAAACCTCAGGTATGTACAGGACCAAAACTCTCCTAGAGACTGATGATTAAGCAGGGTCAATACATTATCACAGACGGCGAGATCGGGTTGAGTTGTGAAGAGGTCAAGCAAGAGCAGGGACAGCACAGTGGGATTCTGAGTTGCCACAAGCAAAGCCTTCAATTCTTACTTCCGGGGAAGAACCACAGCTTGGAGACCCTTTTTCGACTCTCCCTGCCTGCTTCTTGCTGAGGGAGACTCCAATTGGGGAAGGTAAGAACTGGCTATGTTTGCCAAACTCTGCATCTCGGACTACGGGATTGTTAGTGCGTGCAGGAGGTGATCCACACAAAAGGCCCACCTGGCTGCCCAAGTCTCCATCACCCTCAGAGCATTCCTAATAAGCAACAAACTTGTCACTAGGACCATAAAAGAGGATAAATGAAAAACAAACTTTCTCCCAAAATACGTATTCACATTGCAAATGTAAACCATTACCCTTCTTTGGAGAAGATCAAGAGTTTCAGAAGCATAATCCACTCTATGAATTTGCAGAATGCTGGAAAACAATAATAATTCGGAGTAAGTGATAAAGTGATGCCATAAAGAAAAATAATTGATGATTTTAAACATTTCCGCTGCAGAGATAATAACAGTGGTTAAAAAGGTTCATTATTGCATGAGAAAATGGGTACCAAACTATCCATCTTATGCTACCAAAATGCTGTTAAACTCCAGACGCAAAGCATATAATTGATTGGCACAGAACTGAAAGCATATTGTCATCCAAAAAGAATTTGCTTGTTGGATGTCATTACCAAATTAACTTGTCCTATGGGGCTATCAGTGAGGAACTCGGTTAACTTGTTACAGGTAAGAAAATGAAAGGAATTAATGTTTCTAAATAATTAGAAAAAAACATACCCTTTTGGATTGGGACCGACTCTATTGCAATATTCCATGAAATAAGGAACCCTAGTTACCCAACGAGGTTGAGGACAGATAACTTCAGATCTAGGAAATGGTTGGTCATTGATTTGCCAAAACCTCGACTTCTTTTCAGACATAGGATCTTGACATAATTGGTTTGTTGTATTAAGTCTCATTGGGCACTTTTCCATTTCGACAGTCTCCTGGATCATCAAAAGAAAACAAATTAAGAAGCAAGCAAAATGAGAGGGATCTAGAAAGTAGTTCTAGAAGACTAGTCTAGGCATAGTTACATAGAACAATGTTAGAATAGAACCACCAATCACAAGCATTTGTAGTTCTGTGAAAAGTATACAAATTTTGACTCATAATCAGGGGGACAACAGGTGATGAAGTAAAGCATTCTGAATGGTGAAGGCTGAAAAAATTGTCTGGTTAACTTAGCTTTCTGAAAAATCCAAAAGAAATGTAAGAAGGTCAATAGCACCAATGAACTAAAATGTAAAAGAATAAACAATTATATCCTATGATGTTAAATTTAAGAAAATATAGCAAATATTTAAGGACCACCGGATACTTTATGAAAATGAAGTTAAAAGCAGACCTATTAGATAAACATAATTTTGACAAAACCAAAAACTAAGGCCGAATGTACTGGCACAAGTAAGAAAAGTAAAGGTTACTGCAGCAATGTATCATCTATCTTAAAGATTCTAACATTATAATTTTGAAGCAAGAAACTGTCAGAATGACAGTAGGCAACTACAAGCCTTCATCACACAAGCAGTGACTATTTTATAGGTTAAAATGACTAAACAGTAGCACACCAGTGCGACAAAGCTCCGTAATAATGAAACTTCTGAAGCTAAACATAATCTTTAAAAGGCATGTAATCACAGCAAGCAAAACTGCCATCATCTCGGAAGATTGGCATGTACATCTATCATGGGTTCATGAAACAGATGCATAAGTATGATAATTTTCAGGCATCACTGCGACAGTAGCAGCATATGCAACATACATTAGAATAACTAGAACCAAAGTCTTGATTTCACATATACATTTACTTGAAATCCCCTTAGCTGAGTCCAGAACTGATTCTTTCCGACCGGTTTTGCAGTTCAGTTCAGGACACTCTTCACTTTTGTTTAGGAAGTGGAGGGACGGCAAAACCCTTACTTTTTACAAGAACTGGAAGTAGCTCCAAAAATGAGCAGAAAGCATTCGACGCGACGATATTTTGCGAATCCAAATTTGTGCTACAGCATGAAATAGTTCGGTCAAAATATTAAAACCCAAACGGTATTCTCTCTTCCGTAGTGTGAGACAAAAGGAACAATTAGGTTTCCGTAGAACCATAAGAAGGCAGAGGAACCAGCAATGTCAGATTAGCAAGCCGAAGGTCGAAACTTTCGGCGATCAAACTCGCCAATCCCCATGTCTAGATCTCAATTCGACCCCACAGGTTCCCAATTACAGCCCATATCAGAAACAACATCATGGTCCAACCCATACCTCACAACAGGGAAGACAGAAATATTTTTGCAGCTAAAAACACACAAATCCAAGGTAAAAGCTCATTCACCAGACTCTGTATCCATACCATCTGGAACCGGGCGGATCCGACGCGACAGCTCTAGACCACCTCCGAGCCGCCAGATCTAGCTCGTCATCACGGCCTACGAGATCCCCCTCATGATCGAAGCCACGGATAAAAGGCAGCAGGCCAAGATCCCACCATTATATGCTGCTGCGGAAGAAGGGAAGCAAGAGAACCAAGGCGCGAGAGAGATCTTTACAACTCGCGTCCACCCTCCTCCCTTTCTCTTCTTCCCGCACGGCCTTTTAACGCGGAGCGGGGAGGATGGTGGTGAAGCGAAGCGAGTCCCCGCGGTTAAGTTAAAATCCCAAGCCTAATCCGGAGGTTACGCCACGTTATTAATCTCATTAAGACTCCATTAATTTTGTTCCTTTCTCCAATTAATACATTTTAAGAAGTAGCAAATAAAATCGAGTAAAAAAATAATTTTTTTTGTTATAAAGAAGTGCTATTTTTTATTTTTAAAAATAATCTTATTTTTTTAAGAGGGCAATTTATTTAAATTCAGGTAAATTAAAATTAATTTATTTTATAAAAGAATATTACGCGGAAATTGTCGTTCGCAGACGGTGTTGTACGTCGACAGCGATGGCGTGCGAAACGATCGGTAATTGGGAACTCTGTGGAGACACGTGTCGAGCGGATGGTGGCCCTGAGGAGTCAGCGCTTGGTCAGCATACGAAGAGGGCGACGTTAAGCTTATCAGCTGCTACCTCACTCGTGACGTACGGTGTCGACATGTGGATCATAGGAAACCCTCGACCGCTGATTGCATGGAGCTGATGTGGCGTCAAAACTAGAATTAGTAATTGCACTATTCAGTAAAAATAATAAAAGTATTTTGGAATTCTTATAACAAAGGAAGAGAAAAAAACGTGGTCGGCAGGATTCGAACCTGCGCGGGCAGAGCCCACATGATTTCTAGTCATGCCCGATAACCACTCCGGCACGACCACTTGGTTGTAGATTAGGGAAACTAATCACATAATATGGAAGATTAAACGTCCTGCTTATAAATCATGTACAGAACAGAAATTGCTGCTTGAGAAACTAATCAGACATGTCTATACAATGCTGAACGATTAGAAGTCTGTAAGTTGTTAGCTTCTGCTGTATCAAGTTCGGATAAGATGCTTCACCAAGCTTCGTACATGGTGGCTAATAACACATATATAGTTGCATGTCTTTATTGGTTTAAGCTCATAAGCAATTTCCTACCTTATCCAATCATACACCCACACCACCTTGTTTCTGATATCTAATTAATCGTCACTCGCCTTGCTTTCTAAAAGCATCCCACCTCGCGTTGTCCTCCAAAACCTGCACTTTGTGACTCGAATGATCTTTAGCTTTTGGTTATGGGAGCCATGTGTGCTGCTTCGATGGTCTCCATCGCAGCTCCCCGTGCTTAGTAAACAAAACTTGACCATGTTTTCAGCGTCGCATCGTCATCCATTATCCAAGATCAAGTGGGTGACGAGATCCGCGAATCCACGGCGAGAGCGTCTTGGTGCTGTAAAGTAGTTGATATCCATCGTTTTATGATGCGAAGAAGTATAAGGAGTGTGTGGAGGATGTAGAATTCATGACAAAGAAGAGAGAGAGAAGGAATGGGAACTTGAGCTCGACTGGTTCCTGTTTTGACTTCGTCCTCTCTAAAGATGCGGAGGAAGAGGAAGAAACTGATCCATAAGGAGCTTGTCATCCTCTAGCTCCCCAGAGATAGAGGAGGAAGACATGAACTGAAGCTACAGAGGCAAGTCATATAGGCAAAAGGGAGGCTAAGCCTCTCTCTCTCTCTCTCTCTCTCTCTCTCTCTCTCTCTCTCTGCTGTTGATGTTATGGTGCTATAGGATTTCAGTAAAGACGGTCCCTGAGACTTGTAAAGAGCTCTGTTCTTGTTGGGACATGGTGATGCGGTAGAAGCATCAAACATGTTACAAAGTCTCATTCTATTGTATCAATAATGCAACTTTTTTTGTACTTTGTGCTTGAGATAAGGTACTACTATGTTCCTATTGTATCAATAATTAATGTGTTCGATGTGTTTGTTGGTTGTTCTCTTCCTTTCCTCTGTTCCTTTCTAATCTTCCAAACTACAGATTTATTTGGATGAAGTAAAATTTTGACGGATACTGAGACTTCAGATAGATTGTGATATCATTTATGTGAGGTGTTGCACTAGGAAGAGGGCTATGTAGAAGAAGACGAAGTATGTGCTCTGTAAATAGGTTTTGGATATGTTCTATATGCAGTAGAAATCAATCTCTTCTTATGGATCATATCTTTGTTTTTGTTGATAAAACTGCAAATTTTAGCTGTCAATGCTCTATGGAATTCGAGCAAATTCTAGTCGCCATTACAGACGCATCGTGCTGGATCACTATTGATCACAATGTGTTCGGAAAAATGCGTTACAGAAAATAGTGATCACTATCGATCACTATCGAGCAAATTCTAGTCCATCGGTTCATATAGCATATCGGTCATATCAGAAACAGCAGTCAAAATTCCATCAACTTCTTTTCTCTTATTTGTTTAAAGCCACTACTTACTCTATTAAAAGATGTGGATATTTCCATGAAAATACAAATAAAGATGTTGCTGTAAAATTGAGAAATTATTATAAATATTTTAGAGGCTTTGCAGAGCAACACATGAAGTGTGCGCATCCGTAACCTGCGGATGGTCTATTGGGCCAGACGAATCATGTGAATTGAGCCCTCCGGTTCAATTCAACCTAAGCCCGGCCTGTTTCCGACTCAATCCGGTCGTCATGCTTATGGCACGTGACCGTCACCCCCCTGTCTCGGCGATAAAACCCTAGTAAAAAGCATCATTTGTGTTACGTCTTCTCGTTACTGACAACTAAAACAGCACCGAATTAAAACTCACGTATAAATTTGATTCCAAGCTTCTTAAAGATTTACCAAGAGAAAGGAAGAAAAGCGCACAGAGAGGCTCGATCGCCTTTTCGTCGGAAAGAGCGGCCCTCGGTGAGCCTTGCACGCCCGCCAGTCGGCTGGCGCAGAACGGTCTGGCAATTTCCGCAAACCACAACACAGTCTGCGAGTGGCTAAACACCGTAGTTGTGCGGCATCCAATCAATGAAAGCTTCAAGAACCATAAAAAATTACGAACAACAGGAGATCATCATTAAATGCAGTGATCAACAGCAGAACTTACACGTTGAAGCATCCTTGACATTTCACATCCTCCTACAACATAGACCAGAAGAAAGAAACATCAATCAGAACCGAAAATTACGCGGAAGTGAGGAAAACTAAAGAACTTGATGAAACGAATCGGGGATCACCTTGAAGAAGGAGTTGGGAGATTGAACGAGACGCTTGAGTTTGTGCCTCTCTTCTCAGGGGATTGAGTAGATCAATATTGATACGATATATTTTGGCCCACGACACATCAGAGTCCGACGCCATCGACCACGGTCAGAATTCGTACTAGGATATTACTCGGCATGTCATATCTTGGGAATCTCGAGCAGAGCCGCTCCTGAGATACGCCAAGTCAGAATCCGTACCAAGACATTGTTTGACATGTCTACCACGCCAACCCACGTATGATCGACCCACGTGTAGTACTATAAAGACCTATAGCCAGCATCTAGCAGAGGGGGGAAAAAAAAATCAATTGATCACTCCACTAACTTGCTTGTCGGAGGGGTCTCGTCGAGTGATCCCGACGAGGGTCATTTTTGCAGGAAAACTCGGCCACCTCACAAAGGCGAGCTGCCAGCCACCCCGAAGAAGGAGAGACGTAACTCAGCATACACGGTGCCCGGATCGGCATACAAAGAATGTTGATCAATACCCCGTCGTGAGAGTCTGATCGACCTCGGCATCCAGCTCAATCAACAGAAGACTCCCGACATTGACCCATGGACCAAGCCGTGCTGACTCACCAGCAACATCACATCTGTTCACCAACAAATATCATTCGGTACGACCTAATCATCCACGACACCATCGGAAAAAGAAAATAAACAGTAATAATAACCAGACTCAGCATGTTCGAAAGAGACATATCGAGATCGGCGAGCGTACCAGCTCGTCTAAGCCTTCGGCGGCGATGGAAACCCGTTGTCGCGGGGTTAAGAGCGGCAACGGGAGACGGATCCCCAAATTGAATGGAAATTATATGGAACATAAACGTATTTCAGCCGTAGGATCGGGCTACGAGCGACCGCACGCGTTAATCGGACTTCATCAAGAGTATGGAAAACATGTGGGATCACAGCACAGGTTGACACGTGCTGTGCACGGACCAGCGGCCTGTGACGCGCTTCGGGGCCGGCGCACTCCAGCCTGTATCGGCTCGTTGTGAAGCTTACTTATGTTAAAAGCAAAATTAATATTAATTTTGTAATGTCTTCTAAAGTTCTATGAAAAATACGTGTAATTTTAAAAATATATGTTTTATGTTTAAATTATGATGATTGTATCATGTTGGAATTTCTAATTAACATTTTTTCTCATTTCAAAAAATTCAATGATATGCAATGTTCAACAAAAAAACAATACTTTTCGCGAGTACACAAACAGTTAAAATGGTTCCGACCAAATCTCTTGAAAAAAAAAAAAAAATCTCATAGTACACAAAGAGTGGAAGAACAGTAAATCAAATTATAATATTATTTATGAACGAATGCGACACCAATTGTGATGAAATAGAAGGTAGGTAGCAAAATTAGGTACGGAGGACCAGTTGTTATAGTTAAATTAAGTAGCTTACCAAGTCTTTCATTTGTGGGTGGCTAAAGTTCTGGCTCCTGTCGGGTCTCCCACATTCTTCATCAAAAGCACCTGGCAACCACCTGACACTTCCAACGTCATGAATTATCTGGCCTTGGGCAGTCATGGGTGATTTGGCGTCCAAGGCGGATTAACCAAGTATGCGTCGTCCAAGTCATTTGACTAAGTGGATGCGGAGGATTTATTTCAAGGCCCACTTAGCAGATTTTACGTATGAACGACGGACGCGACGCACACCGGTGGAAGGGAGGCGAAGTGCCTTCCCCTTGCGCGGTGTCACTGCTTCTCGAGTCTCGATCCGACCCTTCACGGCGAAGTGCATCTTCCGAGATCAGAGAAAGAGGGGCTCTTCCTCTACCCGTTGACGGGGCGCTCGATCGCCTTCTGGTCTGCGACAACCAGAAGGCCACGAGGTGTGCGCGCGGCAGATGAGAGATGAATAAATGCATGGAGTCGGAGTTTACAGGTTAAGTTTTCAGCTGACGGAAAGAGGAGGTGGTCACCCGC